AGATCTGCACATACACGTACACAACAGGGAGTTTTTCGATTCTCACACACCCAAACCCCTTAGACGAATTTTAAGGTATTTGTGACGATAGAATTTAACTTGGAAGGAACAGGATACTCAAGTTGTGCTGAATTCTGCTTACCTCGGATGAGGCGCTGCGGTGTCGTTTGGGTCAGAGGAAACAGTGAAACTGGCCGCAAATGATTCAGAAAGACCCTCCATTTTGACACAAAAAGGAGCGAACTTTAGCCGTTCAGTTCAGAAGAACCAAAGAAAGATTTAATTCCTCAATATCTAATTATCAAGCCTTTTCACAAACGATTTTCATCTCGTATACAGTTGTTCCAAATTTCCCTCTCTTCTTATGAGCCCTCGATTTACTAACAGTATGCACTGAGTGTAACAGCAGTGAAGATTCCCCAGAAGTCCCTAGCACGTGACATTCATATGACGTGCAAACGCCTGGCGGATTTTGACTGTGATGAAAGTCAGTTAAAACTTGTTCATCTGGAATTATGCTTTATATTGCTTAAAAACGAAATGGCCTCAATCATGCACTTATAGGGTGACTCATTTAACAAGTGTAGTACCTGGCTACGAAATGGGATCGTTTGCGGATTACATGGGAGATCATATTTGGGTACGTGTTAATGCACGTCTTGTGAAACTACATGTACTGCACAAGGAGCAATAACAATGGTCAGCGTATGAATGCAAATATTTTTTCAATAGGAAAATTTTCGTAATCAAGGGCGCTTTTAAACTTAAATTAAGGTATAACGACGCATCGTTAACAATAAGTGATTAAATGCACATTTTTTTCTTGTGCATTACTAGAAATGTCACATTGATGAAACAATTCGAGCGTATATTTGCAGAAGTATATGGTGCAAATCGAAACAGAAAAAATTTAATTATGACGGAAAAAAGATCACATTTACAAACAAGCAAAGAGATCAAGAATTTGGAAAGTGCTGTACAAATAAAAGCAAGGTGATGAGACTCTTAACAGCTGAAATTAAAAAGGGGAAATAGTGCATATGACTATGAATTTTTGTGTTGCTTCTAATACAGTCAGTTGTGTGATATTGTGAACACAAGACTGTACCTTCTGTCATAAAAAGTTGTTTTTTAGAACACTGAGTGAATTCAGTCAGGAAAAATATCATACACTGCTCATTGATTGGCTGACTGTTGGTGTAATTTGTCTTTTTAGATTCCTATCCTGATTGCTCTTGGCATTGCATTCTTGTTAATCATCATAGTATGGATTCTCTGTAAACGCAGGTTGGTTCTTTGATTGTTTTAATGTTATTTCAGTAATTATTATTGTTGATGATGTTGTGGTTCAATTTTATCCTTGGTTCAAATTTTATATTCCTTTGTTTCAAACTCATTATCATACGTTACAATACCCAAAAACAAAAGAAAAGAAAATTTGAGCCAATGATAAAATTGAACCCCAACATTGATGTTATTGTAATAGTCGTTAATTGCTCTCTAAAGCATAAGATAGGATATGGTTCTCATTAAACAGGGCTCCAAACTCTTTTTTTCCCATTTAGTGGTCATCTGGTTACCTAACATCATAAAAAAGGAGCCTTAATTGAAATTTCAGGTGCCAGCAAAATGATATCAGAAAAAGAAAAAGGCAATTTGTTTATTACTTTATAATGTGCTTGATGGCTGGCCATACCAGTTATTTTATGGCCTATATATGGCTGGTATAAAAGGAAAAAAATCAAGGAGAAAGTTATGGAGCATAAGTAACATTTTATAAAAAATCTCATATCTCTTTGACTTCAGACCATGCAAACTAAGTCATAAAAAATTAAAACTTCAACACAGGTTGGAAAATTGGTGATTACAGTTACACATGGGTGACCAAAGCAGATGCTGCTTGGAGGGCTGTGAAGAAATATATTCCTCAGCCAAATGACGATGTTTAAACACCTTAAAGCCAAAGGGCTAATGAAGAGCTCTAACTAAGGGATAATGCTCCAAACATCAGCTTTAGAGGCTCTTTTTGGTGGCCAGTTAACATTAGTTATCAGCTCAGTTGATAAAACCAAATTACATTTGTGTAGTTTGTGTAGTTTTTAAGAACCACTTGCATTCAGTGGACAGTGTTAGCATTGCCAAGTGGTTTGAAATTTCTAAGAATTTTGAGTTAAAAACCCCAGAATTATTTACATGACTGTACTTCACACTAGTCATGCACCAAAGGGTGAAAAATGTTTTGGTCAATGGATCTTCAAATGAATAAGTCTTTAATTTGGTGACTGATAAGTTCATTTTTGTATGGTTTAAGGAGATGGAATCGCTATGTGAGCCAGATTGGCATAGAAGAGGATAGATCATTAATTGAGAAATGGGATGAAGAGAAAAGACTTCAGAAGAGTGTAGAAAGAGGTACAAGAACTGTGTTTAATTTATGAAAATAATAAACAAAATGATTAAATTTTATGCATGTCAATGTTTTAAAATAATGTTTACTTTGAGTCAAGCCAGCCTGCCAAATGCAGCAGTGAAACCTGACCAAAGACATGGATTGAGATTTCTATGCTAAGATTTTGATCAAATGTGTAGCCTGTTTATATGTGGTATTTCTTTTTAACCCTTTAAACTCCCAGAGGTGATTAACATGTAACATCTCCGGGTAATATCCTTTCATTGTCTAGCGAACAGGTAATGAGAATATACTCACACTTATCAGGTAGAGGTTGTTCTCTTGATCTAACACCAAATTCTTGCAACTAATTTAAAAGGGAATTTATAACAGCTACAGGGGAGAATTAACAATCAAATGTTGGAAGTTTAAGGGTTGATATATTAGTTTAACTTTTCTTTTTTGGTATATTTTATATGAATTTCAGCCACAATATAAAGAATATTTTTGACTTTTTTGTGTAGTATTAGCTTATAGGTTTAATTTGTATAATTACAGTGTAGAAAATGTTTGCTAAGTGAAAGTTAGGGAACTAACTAATGTTTATGATTTCCTGTTTAATCCAAAAAGGCCAATGAGTTTTTAAACTTGATATTACAGATGCAGTGTTGCTGAACTGTTATTACTATTTAAAGGATTCCAAAAAGTACAGTTTTATTGATCATCTACCAGATATGGGTAAGAAACTGAAGAGTTTTCATCTCTGTAAATTAAGTTTATAAAAACTGTTAGTACTAGTATACTGGGGATGATAAATACTGAAAGAAATTGGATAAATAAGAGACCAATGTTTAAGTGATAAACAATAAAAATATGGTTAACTTTACTAGCCATACAATTTAATAGCTTGTATTCAACATAGGAAGTTTTAAGTACTTTAAGTACTTAAAGGATTGTTCAGGGTGGAGTTGTCTCCAACAGCTGTTTCACTCCTTCATATCCTTGACAATTCCACAGGTAGCAGAGTAAATAAACAATGGTTCCTTGTAAAGGACAGTAAACAAGCCATAAATGCAGTGTTAACAATGACACCTTGGAGCTCACAAACTGTGATTGACTTTACCAAGGCCACAAAGAAAACTTTGAAAGAGCTGTTCTCGCTGTTGCAGGTTTGTATTTTATTCAAATCAAGGCATCCATGTATAGTTACAACTGGCCAAGCAAATCATATATAAATTTTTTAAGAGTTCATCTGTATTGCATTTTAATCTCAAGCTTTTCAATGGCAATTAAAATTCAAGGAAGTTGCTTTGATTTGCTGCTAAAAAACTTTGATCACTTCCATCAGTGATACCTTATTTGCCTCCAAGTAGAAAACTCAGATTCCACAGAGGAGAAACATTTATTACTTTTTAGTTCTAGTTACAGTAAAGAAGTTCTTTAAAGGACAGCCACAATACTTTAATTATGATAAACTTAACATAATACTGTATATGTGCTTCAATCTGCAGCTTTGTACATGTGACTTGTGCGTTTGCACTTCTACTTTGCTAACATGTTTTTGGATGTTACTTTCTTTCAACAGTTTCCCTACCTCTTTCCATTGATGGATATTGATTTTGTATTTAGTCACAACCTAGTGATGTTCATCCATCCTTACAGATCTACTGGATCACTAAAAGATCTTATATATGGGGTATGTGGGTAATGAGACAGTGTAACTTTATTACCATGATGCACATATATTTTTTTAATGTTTAGTTGGTTGATGTAACAAGCTCATTCTTGGCCATGGTATTTTTATAAGAATTTTTTTGTCTTTAATTTTTTGATTTTTCAAAACTTCTCCACCCCTGACCTCCAAAACTTAAAATCACATCTTAATGAATTCAGTTTGTTCTATATTTTAAATCAAATTTGGTAAAGAACTTTCCACCCTCTGTTGACCTTTTGCCTTTGCTTTTTTCCCCCATACAAGCAGGAGAAGCATAATGGAACTGGAAGCCGCCATAGGGCATGGGGCAAAAGTGAGCAAAAAAAGTGACGAGCTGGGAGAGGAAGAAAAGAAAGGAAAGTTGTCTGGCCTCCTGCTCTTCCCTTTTTTTTACCTCACTCTCACCTTATGCCCTCATGGAGCAGATGGTTCGCTCATGCTTTATCACCTTGAATAAAAGGAGACAATGTAACTCTACAATATGCAAGTTGACTTTGAAAATACAAAGCTGATTGCTAAAGGGAATAACTACACTGTAGGTGGGAACAGAAAGTGTTTTAATCCCATTACAACATCTGATGAGGAATGTTAAAGGAGCCTAATCATTATCTTTTGGCTTAGTGATTTGTCAGGTTTTTCTATGTTTAGTTTTGTAGACACATTCATGCATCATTATTACTTAAAATTTATATTTTACTTTCAGTCTCGTCCTCAGTCATCTTGGGTTGAAAAGTACCAAGCGAGGGGAAAAGCTCTTTCACTTACACAAATTCGTAATTTTGGGCGACAAGTCTTAGAGGTAAAAGTCAGGCTGCTGCAAAGCGCCGTTTTGTGTTTGTTTGCTGAGGCTGGTTCCCAAGTTTTACTACTTTACATGTTGACTTTTAACTTATGAATAGGCGCTGGTTTATCTGAGAGATAAAGGCTTCCCAACATGTGGTCATGTTCACTCTGGAAATGTCTTTATAATCAATGGAACAGCTAAGTAAGTCAATGAAGGTTCTTCACAAGTACATTATGGCGTGAATTTTTCAAACTGATTCCCTGATATTTCAGGCCGAAACTTTCCAGCTTTCCATGGAAAAAAAATTAATAATATCATATTACAAAGGTCTTCATTGTTCTTTTAACCCTATACACCCTAACATCAGTATGCATATTCTCCATACTGTTCTTTATACAATTCCTAAGATACTGACAAGGAGAATCTGTTTACCAATCAAAAGCTTCTATCGCTGATGATCATTTCCTTTATTCTCGTCACCTTAATGTATGATTCAGAGGTGATACTGTAAGGAGAAATTAGATGCTGGTCACTCTCAGGGTTTAAAAGGTGAATTATTGAAATGAATTACTTTTGTCAATGTTTGATTGTACAATCTCTCTTTTTTGTACAAGTTGCCTACTTGTACTGTAGCACTTCAGCAGGCGTCACGTCTGTACACTTTCTCGTTTACTTAGCGTTGGGTTTTTTTTGGTAACACCAACGTGTTTACGTGCAAGAGGGAAGCATTGAACTGTGTATTGTGTAAAATTAGAGTGGCACATGCAAATTTATCAAAATCTTGACCGTGCATTGTCAAGTAAGTCAACGTTTACTTATCTTTTCTCTTTGTAGGCTCTCTGGCTTTGAAAATTCTATGTTTGGCTGGAAATCAAGGCTTTATCCCACCATTAAAAAGCTTATCAAAAACAGAGACGATGATATTGAAGTTATTCAGTTTGGTAAGGATGCATTACTGGTTTTGAAGAATTCAGTATACTCTAATATTAAGTAGATTACGAGCAGCTCCAAAAGGGTTCTCAGGCCCCTCACAAACTCCATGCACCCACGCACACTTTTCTCCTGGTCTCGAGTCTTTTGGTTTTCACCACTCGTGCAGCAGCACTGATTAGAACCTTATTTTAGGCTGGGTATTTATGTGTTTTGCTGAGTTTGCAAGGTGGAAGTTAACAATTTGCCAATGAATTTAAGAGCATTTTTAAATTGGTTATTTAAAGTAATCCAAGATTGAATGGTTATTGCTTCATTAAGAAGTTTTGGTTGATTTAGAAAACTCGCACTATCTTTTCGGACAAATATCTGACGAAAAACTAAAGCTAGGACTTGTGGATTAAGCGAGTTTTCCTCCTCTTCACACAATTTAAACTTATCTTCTCTGGGTCTTGGTGGTTCACTCTGGTGTTTCCTTTTTTTCTGTTTGGTCGTTGTGTTTGCACTTTATTCTGTCTTACGACACCTCTTCCACCCCCTTATATTCTAAAATGATTTTCGCCTTTATAAACGCTATTACTCGTATACTTGCTGCACAGGACACTTGCTGTATGAAATGCTGGCCGGGTGGGAGTTGACCACAGCAGAACCAAGGAGAGAACAGCTAAAAAACTTTAAAAACACCCCAGTTGTGGAGGTTTGTAACTAATTTTTCCAGCATAGAGATTGAACCTTTTACTGATGAGATAATTTTCATTCTCACGAAATGATAGGAATGTACTTTTAGAAAACCCAATGACACTGTCTTCAATCTTTTTCCAGGTTATCAATTTTTTATTCTTTAATGAAAGCGAAATGTATCCAACCTTGGATGAGGTAAGTATGAATCTTGTTCCATGATGGTCTCCTGTTGTTGATGCAGGCATGCAAGATGCACTGAAAACGCTAGGGAATTCTAATTTTAATTCATGAGATACTTTGCTACC